ATGTAGATGGTCATCTGATCTCAGAGTGAGGGCCCACCACTATGATTATAATATAACAGGGATGTGAATGGTCATCTGATCTCAGAGTGAGGGCCTACCACTGTAATTTAATGTCACAGATATGTGGATGGTCATCTGATCTCAGAGTGAGGGCCAGATCCCAGTCACTCAGCTCTGAGGCATTGTCATCAGGATAGTACATCACCCTTTGCGGGCCTTTCAGACATGAAGCTTATTCCCCTGGAAATCATTACTTATTAAATGAAATAAATAATTATCTGTTCTATTTTTAAATAGATTTCCAAATATAAAGAATGAAAATATCACGTAGACATCATCCCTTAAAGTAGGTTGTGAATATTTTAAGTGATCCTGTTTTTAACACATCCTCCCTTCTCAGGAAGGTATAAGTAAAAGAAATATTTTTACCTCAGTTATCAGATTTAGTGAAGGATGCTTCCTTTTTCAGAATATATTTAATTGACCTAACATACCATGGCAACAATTCTTGGGTTGTATGGGAAGTGTATAAACAAGATCAGTTTGATAGAAAAATGTCAGCAATCTTAAATTTACCAGAGATTATGAGTCAGTGCTACAAAAGGTGGAGGTAAGGAAAAATATAGGAGTAGTTTCAGAAAACCAGGCTTTTTATAAATTTTATCCCCCATCTCCCCCCCCAAAAAAATCTTAATTTATTCTCATTAGGGCAAATACTCTAGGAAAGAAAATATTTTTGGTTCACATGATTTGGGATAACACCAAAACTGATTTGGAATTTTTCACACTGAAAAACAAATTCAAGAAATTGTACAATGGCACAGAATAGTCATAGTGGCTTTTTGTTTCTTCTTTGGTTTTTTTCTTCAATTTGTTTTGATGCCAAAAATGAAATCAAGGTTCTCTGGGACATGCTGTGTTACCCTGTAGAAAAAGATGGAAGAAATTATTTTTCAAAAGACCTGAGAGAATTAAATAAAAGTAGCCAAAGTGATTTTTGAAATAAGTAAGTGTGCATTTTAGTGCATTCTGAATTTGGACAGTAAGTAAAATACATGGTGTTTTTCTTGAATGTACTACACAGTTGATGTACCATCTGCTAAAATTATGATCATTCTGCTAATATAAAAATAATGCTAAGATTTCAAATTCTACTTTTATTAGGAAAAAAGCTTTTTTAAGTGACATTGATCTGTAGGCGAAAGCCATTTTTACAATATCGCCAAATGACTAGCTGTCAAAGTTGTCAAGTCGACATCTGCCTTTAAGAATAATCCCTGTAGCTATGTGCAACCCCAGCAATTCCATTTGACTCCTGATATGTTCAAAGCTGAGACCCATATGCTCTGCATGTGGGATGATTGATTATGGGGCTTAGGAAGCAGTTGTGAATTAAGTACGGGATTCAGGTTATCAAAGTTTCATTTATAATCTGTTTTATGCATACCCTTCTGTTCTCCTGCGCTTCGTTCCTTTCAGACTGGAGTACATGTCAGCTGAGTGAGAAGGCAGTGTGTGGAAATGGCGTTAAAACAAGGATGTTGGATTGTGTTCGAAGTGATGGCAAGTCGGTTGACCTGAAATATTGCGAAGAGGTGAGTGGGGCTGTGTTAGATCTTGGTGAGTAAATTCTTCCCTGATAATCTCAAGTCATGCTGAGCCAACTGACCTGTGCTCTGTGCAGTTTATTGCCAGCAGATGTTTTTCTGCACCATTCACAGGCTGTTAAATACACTCTTGGAAAGAAGCAGTGTCCAATGCTCCTGATTTCTATATATAATTTCCTGTATTTTGTCCTGCTTGGAGTCCAAAGGTATGCTAATTAGCCTATTCTAAAAGTAATGCTTGGGGAACAATAAGTAATCGAGGTGAATAAAGGCAATAAATCTTAATCAGACTACTCATCATCTTTTATAATTTGATATGAATTTTGTGTAGAGCCTGGGACCCCTGCCAAGATCCATCATTTATTCTTTTTGTTGCTAAACATTGATCACATGCGGTTTAGTAGCAGATCTTGATATTACGGTATTGTACCCAGCTGTGAGAGTCTTAAGTATTCAGGTCTTATTAAGAGAGAGATTAAAATTCAAACAAAGGAAAGAAGTCTGCCATTATTTATCTTTTGGGTTCAGAGAATTATACCTGATAATTCTGTAATTGACAAAAGTAACATTATCCATTCTCGTAGCTAAACATGAGCTTCTGAAATGTGAGGAAACAGTTGTTGGCCTTTCTTGGTTTTCATAAAACTACATTTCACGTTCTAATTATTTTTTCCAATTTCCATACCAAAAAGGTACTCACATCCCAGCCAAGTTTTAACTCCCTGTGCATCTGAGGGTCAAATTCCAGCCAGGTCTGGAATGACCAGACAGAGCTTCTCCTGTCATTAGAGCTCAGTCATCATGGTCACCGCCACTTCTGTTTACACATCCTGCGAGTTATTAGAAGCCCACAGTAAATTGTTCTAACTCCTAAGGGAAAACTCTAGATGGAACTATTTTAATTCCTTTGATATCTTTATCATGTGGACCTCACTTACCTGCCTTATCTCTCTGTCCATGGGAGCAGAACTCCCTCATGTGCCACAAATGCATCTGCTTTAAACACAAGTTGTGTAGTTAATAAATGCCTTCTTCTATAATCTTACAACTTTTTCTATTTACACCTCAGATTTAAATAATTGAAAATGTGACACTTCAGTCATTTTGGTTTTGAAGCTGATGACATTGAAGTGATATAACTAACCATTATAAAAATAACATTATTATTAATGACGATTATTATAATCATATACCAGCTGGAGAGCTTTGTGTGATCTACTTCTAGCTCATTAATATGACCTCCTTTCTGGAAATGCTCACATCAGTGCCCTCCAGTGTTAGACTAAAATGTAAAGTAAATAGCTCTGAGAGCTTTTTGAAAGCTAAACCTTTAAAACCATACATGACCAATTTTAAATTATTTTATATACTAAAGGACAAGGTTGTAAATATGGTCCTCGATTTCTTAAGTAAAATTTGCATAAAAACCTTGGAAATAACTAATTTTAATTATCTGTGAACCTAGATGAGTTTACCCTTATGTGCAAATATTATCGTATTTGAATATAGCAATTACAACTAGGGAGGCAAATTTTAACATTCTGGCAAATCCTATCTTAAAGGAGTTAAAATTTGACTCAGGGCCCATCTCTGTGGTTAGGATGCCGGCCACATACACGAAGGCTGGTGAGTTCAAAGCCAGCCTGGGCTTCATAAAAAACAATGACGACTACAACAAAAATAGCCGGGCATTGTGGCAGGTGCCTGTAGTCACAGCTATTTGGGAGGCTAAGGCAAAAGAATCGCTTCAGCCCAACAGTATGAGGTTGCTGTGAGCTGTGATGCCACAGCACTCTACCAAGGGTGAGATAGTAAGACTCTGTCTCAAAAAAAAAAAAAAAAAAAAAAAATTTTCACTGTGCAAACCCTGCAGTCAGCATTCAGTACAACAGCAGTGGATGGCACTTGCTGCATGTCCAACAGCCACAAAGATGGCACTACCACTAAGCAAAGACAAAAATTAGAGTTAAATTCACATAGAACTGATATAGTATTTTTATTCATTCATTCATTCATTTATTTATTTTGCAGTTTTTGGCCGGGGCCAGGTTTGAATCCGCCACCTCCAGTATATGGGGCTGGTGCCCTACTCCTTTGAGCCACAGGCGCCGCCCAATATAGTATTTTTATGTGTGATATTTTCAGAAATTTTCTCTTTTGATACCTAGTAACCTGTTTGTCCTTGTTTTTTCTGGTTTTGATTCTTGAATAGATTCCTTCTATCTCTTCTAATTTATTTAGGCATATTTGTTTAGATAAGTATGAGGGGGAAGAAAAGAAAGAGGAGAGAGAAATGTAAGGAAAAGAGCCGTCCCAGGTTAAAATATGTAGTGGATACCCAGAATAACGGTAAACTGACATCCTCTGTACCTCTGTGATGAAGTAAGTCAGTAATAGTTGAATTCTGTGACTGAAATTCTTTCTCTATGACACTATTATCTATCTCAAATGTAACACATTTATTGTCGTCGTATCACCTTAGGTTCTTTTCTCCAACCTCCCATAACTTTTAAGAGAATTTTTAAGACTTTAATTAAGTGATATGGTAAACATCTTCATCCCAACACTCAGCTTTGTCAAGTGTTACTGGTATAGAATAAAAAAGGAGCAGAGGGATGTAGTCCACACAGCTTAGAGCTGATGCTCTATCAGTAGATAACTTAGAGCCAGGAGCTGTACATGAAACACAGCATAAAGCTTCCGAAAGTTTTTCTCTTGGCATCTCCTGCTATATAAATTAGAAAATATAAACTTCTTTTTATGCAGAAATAGGAATGGTCTTGAAAATTCCAAGAATTATCAATCAAAAAATTTTTTATTCTCAGAACAAGTTTTAAATGTTCCACTTTCAATACTGCTTTGTGCCTTAACCTTTTTTTTGAGACACAGCCTCACTTTGTTACCCTCGATAAGAGTGCTGTGGCAGTCACAGCTCACAGCAACCTCAAACTCCTGGGTTCAAGGGATTCTCTTGCCTCAAGCTATTCTCCAGCCTCCCGAGTAGCTGGAACTACAGGCACCTGCCACAATGCCCAGGTATTTTTAGAGACAAGGTCTTGCTGTGGCTCAGGCTGGTCTGAAACTCGTGAGCTCCAGCAATCCACCCACCTCAGCCTCCCAGAAGTCCCTTAAACTTTTTAAATGTTGGAATACACAGTAGAAGAATTAGAAACCTCATCATCTATTTTAAAAGTAGAATATTTCAATGACAAGGAACAGAACGCAAATGCCAAGGAAATGGCATACCATCATTATTGAATGAGAAAATGTACACCAAAATAACTGAATTTGACCTCAGTTTCTAAAATCAGCTTTAAAAGAGAAAAAAAATCTTTGTGAAAAACCCACATAGAATATTCAAAATTGAAAAACTCTGGGAACTCACATTTCCATTTGAGAAAAATAGCTTCATTAAAAACTGATGTTTCTGTTACCTCCACACATTATGTGATTAATCTTGGGTGAGTTTGTCTTTAGAGTAGCTCTCCCTTTGCTTTACAGTTCACCATGAATGTACAAAAATAATAACATCCCAAAGATACAGTTGTAGGTCTAAATATTAATGATATTCTTGGAAATTAATTGTGTGTATACTTATTTGTTCCTTATTTAGGGAAGTTGAACGAATTTGGGGATTTTATCTATGTTTTTCCTTTGCTTTTTGAAAGTGTCCAAGTATGTGGGGTCACGGGGCCCCTCCATTCATCCTGTGCCCTGAAGTCCCACCCTCCTTCAGGTATCTTTCTATTCCTTTCCACGGATTGCTTCTTCTCCCTTCCTCTCTACTCTTTCTGGCTCTCTGCCCACCTCAGCAGCACACGGTGCTCAGGACTCTGTAGCAGTATAAACAGATCCACCTCTGTTCTTTCAGCTCGGCCTGGAGAAGAACTGGCAGATGAACACGTCCTGCATGGTGGAATGTCCTGTGAACTGTCAGCTTTCCGACTGGTCTCCTTGGTCAGAATGTTCTCAAACATGTGGCCTCACAGGTTCGTTTGTGTCTCAATTAGTATTAAACTAATAGTCAAGGACTAGGAAATAAAATGTCCCTCTCACTTTAAGTCATATCATATCAGATAATCTTCAGAAAGGTTGAAATAGGTGTCTTTCTTTCCAAAGCATCTGAGCCTTGCTTCTTCCTGGATTTCCTCACAATAGACAGTGTGATGTCTCTCCCAACAAGATGCACTTTTGGGCTCTGTGTCTTTAGCTCAAGCGGCTAAGGTGCCCACATACACCAGAGCTGGTGGGTTTGAATCCAGCCCAGGCCTGCCAAACAGCAATGACAACTACTACCAAAAAATAGCCAGGTGTTTTGGCAGGCACCTGTAGTCCCAGCTATATGGGAGGCTGAGGCAAGAGAATCGCTTAAGCCCAGGAGTTGGAGGTTACTGTGAGCTGTGATGCCACAGCACTCTACCCAAGGCAACAGCTTGAGGCTCTGTCTCAAAAAAAAAAAAAAAAAAAAAAGTTGTATTTTTGTATAACTGTGGCATATCACCAAAATTGCATCACTTTATATCTCTTAAAGGAAAAATGATCCGAAGACGAACAGTAACCCAGCCCTTTCAGGGTGACGGAAGACCATGCCCTTCTCTGATGGACCAGTCCAAACCTTGCCCCGTGAAGCCCTGTTATCGGTGGCAATATGGCCAGTGGTCTCCATGCCAAGTGCAGGTATAAAATCTCAGGAAGTTATATGGAAGTGCGTACTATGTATCTGTGAGACTTCATTTCAGAAATATTTTCAGGCTTACAGATGGTAAGCTTCTTCTTAAAGATTTTAGGTGCCTTGCCATTGTATCACCATTTAATTAGTTTTGGTATCAAATACTCCCCGCCCTGTACTTCTGAAATCATTTAGAGACTAATTCATTTTAATGAAAATTTATTTGCCTGTCTTTGACTAGAAAGCAAATAAATTGTTCAGTGTATGTTTTATAGCTAGTGCCCTATAAGGCTTCTTCCCTAAGGTTTCAAATATTTCCCCAACTGTTCATAAATCAAAATCAATGGTGCAAAGATGACTGTATGTGATGATGAGCTCTGTGATTAATTATTTCTCTTTTCCTAATTAGTTATTTCTTCCTTCATTTCAGGAGGCCCAGTGTGGAGAAGGGACCAGAACAAGGAACATTTCCTGTGTAGTGAGTGATGGCTCAGGTGATGATTTCAGCAAAGTGGTGGATGAGGAATTCTGTGCTGACATTGAACCCATTATAGATGGTAACAGAAACATGGTTCTAGAGGAAACCTGCACCCAGCCTTGCCCAGGTAACAAGAACAAAACAGAATTCATATTTTGGTGATTTCTTTCTAGGGCCAGGGTCAAAAAGGGTTATATGTATAAGCTAAAGGATGTCAGCTGTCTTCTTATTCAGTAATACCTGTGCTAACAGCCGGACACTGCACCTGTGAGCAAAGGGGATCACTGCCTCCTTACTATCAGGTAGAGGTGAAGTCCACGTCTCCCTCATGGTATCTCCTGACACTTCTCTGAAGTTTTAACATCTACGGGACATGGCAATTCAGGCCTTAGATCTATGCTCAACACGAAAAGTATGAAATAAAAGTTGAGAAAATAGGGATTAAAAATAACCTATTTCAGATTTCCAGAGAATAGAAGAGAGGAAGAATATTTAAACACGTAATGGTTAATGAAAGATTTAAGTCCTTGTAATGATAGCTTACTCCAGGTCCTGTGTAGAATCAATAATAAACTCACACCTAGATGCATCCTAGTTAAAAGATAAATAATAGAAAAATAGAGAATAAAAAAAGCATTGAGAAAAATTTTAAAAAACAGAATACTTGCAACTGAAAGACAATAATATTGAAAATACTGAAAAACACACGCATTCAATGTTGACACAATGGGTATATCCAGTAAAAATGTAGAAACCAAACATTGTATATCAAATAATGTAAGAAAATTGGCAGATGTGATAAGCTGATATTTAGGAATTTGGGTTCGATGCAGGGAATTGTAGCAAAAATTTAAAGTCATAATAAGCTAGGAAGTCCATCCTTGAGTAACATAAAGAGGTAAAAATTTGTTAGTGGGCTGTAAATAAACAAGATTAGAAGTTGAAAACATTTCAGGCAGTGCCTGTGGCTCAAAAGAGTAGGGCACCAGCTTTATATGCCAGAGGTAGCAGGTTCAAACCCAGCCCGGGCCAAAAACTGCCAAAAAAAAAAAAAAAGTTGAAAACATTTCAAATTATATATAAAACCAGCACACTGTACCCCATGATTGCATTAATGTACACAGCTGTGATTTAATTAAAAAAAAAACAAGTGAATTACCTATATTTTACCCCTGATGGAAAACTTAATCTCCTAATTTGCTTATCATTATGACAAGAAAAATACATCTCTTTAAAAATGTGTTCTCTTGAATAAAATCTCAAAAAGATTAAAGTAAGGATTCAGGAAAAAAATAATAAATGGGAATAAAACATATCTTTTGTATAAAAATATATGATTTGGGGCCAGACCTAGTGGCTGATGCCTGTAATCCTAGCACTCTGGGAGGCCAAGGCAGGCAGATCCCTTGAGCTCATGAGTTCAAGACCAGCATGAGCAAAAGTGAGACCTCATATCTACTAAAAATAGAAAAACTGAGACAAGAGGATCATTTGAGCCCAAGAGTTGCAGGTTGCTATTAGCTATGACACTACTGCACTCTACTCAGGGCAAGAATTTGAGACCCTGCCTCAAAATAAATAAATAAATAAATAAAATAACAATATGTGATTTGAGGAAATTTAAAACTGGATAACATATATTTTCAAAAATTTAAAAAATATTGAAATTGAGCCCCTACAAGCTGGAAAAGCTGAGAACATGGGCTACAAATCCATTCACTCAAAATTTACTCATTCCTTAGTAAAAAACGTTACTTACATTGATAATATTGATAGTCTACAACTTATTATTAAGATGAACTTAATGAAATTGCATAAAGCAATAAATAAAATAGCTCCTGATAGACTTTGTGGACATTCAACTGTGGTACTGGTCTTGGCACACCTGTATATTTTTATCTACTTCAGTTTAAGAAATAAATATTTTAAAAAATCTGAACAGCAAGTCCTCTTCAATGGGTATAAAGTTTTAGTTATATAAAGTGATTAAGTTCTAGAGATCTGCTGTATAGCATTGTGCCTATAGTTAACAATATTGGATAGGTATTGGACACTTGAAAAATTAAGAGGGTAGATGTCATGTTAAATGGTCTTACCACAATAAAATTAAAAACTATAAAATAAGATAATAAAATAAAATCTTACTTTCTAGAGTTAAACAAAGCATCGCTACTTAGACATACTCACACCTGCCAGTAAGAACCTTTTGTGGATCTGGTAATTTTTGTTTCATTTCCAGCCCTTGAAAGTGACTTAATCTCATTCAAGATATCACAGACAATTCAGTGTAATAAAACCGTTTTAATTCACAGGGCTCTAGGCAGGACCAAGAACTGAACCTTTTGACTGTGCTGTCCAGAATGGCCGTAGAGTCAGCAGAAAGTGACCTAGGCTGAAAGTCAGAAGGCCTATCTGTTCACAACCAGATCTCCAGCACCAGCAGTAGGATTTGCTGAGCAGAACCGGCATCCTCGCCAGGCACGGGAGTGTGCCTTGCTATGGAGACTCCCCATGTTTTCACTTTACTTCCTGTAGGACAAACACCCATGCATTTGAGTTTTATTTCTCAAATATAATTAGGTCAAACCTGGACTTGAAATTGAAGGTATATTAGCAACCAACAGACCCTGTCCTTGTAGAACTTACTTTTAACAGAAGGTTGCTTACAGTTGCTAATCTCATAGTGATATAAATAACTTAACATTATAAGTGATATGAAAGTAATTTACAGGATCCCATGTAACACAGACTGGGCAAACACGCCATTTTAATGAAAGTAATTACTAATCCAGGAGTAGCCTGCTCTTCTCTTGTAAATTACCATCTATTCTCTTTGGTTCTTTTTTTTGCTAGTTTCCACATGGATGTGTTTTGAAAGCTAGCAATATGTGAAATAATAAGCTTTAAAGCGAATACTGAATTTGGAAATACATTTTTATGTATTTAATTGTCATATCTTTGGCAGGTACAGTGTAATTTTATCATTACAATGGTTCATGTAGTCAAAATATTGAAAATATGTTTAGTAAAAGGGAGCATCTCTCTCTTATTTGCTGTTGTTAAATCTTTGAAGCCTGACATGGTTTATTTGGGGATGATAATTACTTAACTTACAGACTATCATGTAAAAACTTACTCAGTTTTGCTGGAAAATACACAGTGTTAAATGTAAATAGCCAAAGAGATAAAGACTATTGACAAAAAGGTGTGTGTTTATTTCCATGTAGTTAGCAATCATTGAGGTGAAGTTACATTTCATTCATCTTGACAGGAATTTTTTAATTTTAATTTTAGAAGTTTTTCTTGCATAATTGAAAAACTGAATACACCAAAAGTGGCCATTTCCTAGGGGATAGAAGTGTTTCTAGAACTTTAGACTACTTAAAATGTTTCAGTTTTATTTTTCCTTAGCACTTTTAAAATTTACTAGAATATTCTATACTTCAGGAGCACCAAAGATATTCTCTAATAATGATCTACAAAGTCACTCTACTTTACTATGACACATGTATCTGTCAGTCAATAATCCATGTCTTGCCGGGATTTCCTAATCATGAAGTTTTTTCATTAATCAGATCTCCAGGCAACTTTGTGCTAATATTAGTCATCGTAAGCATAATATGAGACCATATGAATTATCCATGAAATATGGCTAGAATAAATAAAATGATAAGAAACCCTTATGGATTTGTATCTGTCATAATTAACTGTGTTATTTTGAACAGTATCATGGAGTGAGTCCTGAAGAATGGATAGGTAGATGGGGAAGATGTACTTCAGTCTCTTAAAATGATTGAATACATCAAATACATGGATACACTGTGCCCCAGAAATTGCACTCCTGGGTTTATGCCCAGTAGAGACAAATAGAGACATCTCATTAAGTAGAGATAGAAAATAAACAGGAGATAAACAACAAAACCAACAGATTTGTATTAAAATATTCACAATAGCAAAAGAAAAAAATTTACAAATCTTCACATGCCCACCAATAGTAGAATAGATATCTAAATTGTGGTATATCCCACAATGGAATGAAGGCCAGTAAGATGAACTAATGAGAACTACATAAACATAGGATGGAGCTCACAAACATAAATGAGAGAAAGAAGTGAGACACACAAAAATTACATATGGTACACTGCAGATATCACTTGAGGGAGGGATCTTAGATCCTGGGAATGTTCTTTCTGTTCCTAGATTCAAGTTTGATCATATAATCAGATAATGGAAATTCAGCTATCTGCTCATTTATGACATGACCTATTATTCTTAAATGAATAAGTTTTTAAGAAGGAAGTTTATTGAAGATATAGATCAGAGGAAGTGGCAGGCATTTCCAATTCTGCATCCACTCACTTGGCTCTCTCATCTCTACTCCTGGAAGAAATAGAAATAAAACATAAATATCAACTTGGTCAGCCTTGGAGTTCAAGTTCTTCTGAAATTGTGAATACCTAGAAGACAGGTTCTTTGTACATTTAGGTTTTCTTTGAGTAGTACCAAGTGCTTGGTAAAACCCTTTACTATGATAAGGATAACAGTGGTGGTAGGTTTTAAAGGGGGGAGGGGGGAGGATAAGTGGAGGGAGAGTAATTGGTGGGAGCACTCCTACAGTGCACCTTACAAGGGTACATGTGAAATTTACTAGGTATGGAATATAAATGTCTTAACACAATAACTAAGAAAATGCCGTGAAGACTATGTTAACCAGTTTGATGAAAATGTTTCAAATTGTATATGAAACCAGCACATTGTGCCCCATGATTACAAAAAAAAAAATTGTTGTGCCTTAAGAGGAGATGAGTCATAATGGACAAGTTCCTTTAAGCCACAGTTTACATTTAATATCATTAAGCAACGTGTAAACCAATAAGCCACTCAGAAAAGAACAATATTTATGCAAAATTATAAAATTACATATAAACTGGAAAATATTGAATGCTTATTGAGATTTTATAAATATTATGGATGACTGATATAAACATTGCCCAGTAGGGATAAAATTAAAATATTCTCTAGCTGGCTTTTCTGTATGGGTATGGGTATAAACTACAAAGCTGTTTTTACAGGTGACTGTTATTTGAAGGACTGGTCTTCCTGGAGCCTGTGTCAGCTGACCTGTGTGAATGGTGAGGATCTAGGCTTTGGTGGAATACAGGTCCGATCCAGAGCAGTGATTATACAAGAACTAGAGAACCAACATTTGTGCCCAGAACAAATGTTAGAAACAAAATCATGTGACGGTGAGTGCTGTAATTCATGAAAGCTACTTTGTTATAGTTTTATATTGTTAAGCCAAAGCATAAGGTAAAGAAATTTTTGATAAATAAATAAATTTGTTAAGATCTCACTTAAGGCTGAGAATTGAATTAAAGAATTCTGAATTCTAAAGATTTAGAGGAAGGGAAATCCTGCCACCTTTTATAAATTAGATATATAATATTGTAAAAATGTTTCCCAGTTTTAAAGAAATCTGAGATAATTAGAAGCACATTACTTGTGCACTTCTAACAGCCATAATCACAACATCTTCAATTTATTTGAATCAAAGGACAGAATTAAGGAAAAATAATCCACAGTGAAATGAGAGATTTTCCTACCTTCTCAGAAATTGATATATCAAATTATTTATAAGAATTAATAATTTTAATCTAAATTTGACATAGCATATCTAATTGGATATGTGAACATGTTTTATGTCTTTGTGTTATGTGTACACATACATAGAATCATTCACTCAATATAGGCAATATATGGCTTAGTCATACCAAGTTTTTAAAAATATCTTTAGTTTCATAGTAGGGCTGAGTACATTGGATACTTTTTCTTCCATTCTTGAGATACTCTGCTAAGAAGAATATGTTCCAACTCCATCCAGGTATGCATGAACATTTTTTAAATTTAAGACTGCATAAAAATAAAACTCTAGGGGTGGCGCCTATAGCTCAAAGGAGTAGGACACCGGCCCCATATCCCAGAGGTGGCAGGTTCAAACCTAGCCCCGGCCAAAAACTGCAAAGAAAGAAAAAATAAAATAAATAAATAAAGCTCTATATCATTTACATGTATATGATATGTGTGTATATACAGTAAAAGAAAAGTGTGGCAAAGAAAGTTGTACGTCTAATTCAGAATGTATTGCTGAGCAGACACAGAGGGAGATGAGATTAGGAAAGAATATAATAGGATGTCAAGTTTATTTATGTTTTATTCATCAACAAGCAAATGAAAACTATGACAAATATGGCTAAATGGTAATATTTGTTATATTTGCACGATTGATCATTGAATAGGTATTTCTTTTAGTTATTCTCCATACTTGTCTGTATTTGATATTTCATAATACTTTTTAAAAATTCAGTTAATCTAAAAACCCAGGTTCCCACTGGATAGTATGACAGCAGGCATGGAAAATTAGTTGGGATTTAGATATAGAGCTGAAATTGTATAGCATTTGCGTGACAACTGTAGGGCAATCAATTGACATTTGAAGCACCAGAGATGGACTTCTTGTCACTTTTTGATTGTTCACAAATAGATTATTAATACTCTATCCTGGCTGGGTATAGTGGCACTCTGGTAGGCCAGGGCAAGAGGTTCTCTTGAGCTCAGAAGTTCAAGAACCCGAGGTCTAGAAAAATTAGCCAGGCATTGTGGCAGGCACCTGCAGTCCCAGCTTCTCTAGAGGCTGAGGCAGAAAGATGACTTGAGCCCAGGAGTTTGAGATTTCTGTGAGCTGGGCTGAGGCCACAGCATTCTAGCCTGGGTGACAGACCAATACTTTTTTCAAAAAAGAAAAATACTCTATCCTCATGATTGTCGTTTTGGGTGAGAGGATGCTCCCCCTGATGTTTATCGTGTCTCTGCAGACGGACAGTGTTATGAGTATAAGTGGATGGCCAGTGCTTGGAAGGGCTCTTCTCGAACAGTCTGGTGTCAGAGATCAGATGGTGTAAATGTAACAGGTAAACCTCCAATTTCTCTTTGTTCTTTGAAAATCATCCCATAACACACATGTAATTATTTAAAGAAAATAATGAAGAAAACAAAAATACTCTTTCCATGTTCAATACCTGGTTGGGATCCAGGGCTGTTGAGCTATATCCCTATCTGGTGACCAATGACAATTTATTTTGTAATGTTTCAAATTTTTCCTCACCTAGCCTTTTTAGTTATTAACTGCTAGAATGTATTTAATTAAAATACCATCTAATTCTAATATGTGGTTATTATAATAAATAATGTTCAGTTTATTTTTCCTAGAAATTTTATATATTAATAAGATATGGTATTACATGTGGTATTACATGTTAAGAAAAAAACATTTATTTTACTGTTTCTGCTTCTATGCCTTGAAGGAAATACAATAATAGACCAAAAATGTCACCAAGGGAGTATGATAATACAAATCCGAATATTTTATTTGAATTAAGAAATCTATGATTTAGAGGAGCTTTTTTTTTTTATTAAGACGGAAGACCTATTAGTAAATCTCAAACCCAGATTATCTGAGCAGCTCACATACTAGGTCGTCATCCCCAATCATTATATATCCAACGAAGAAATCCAAAGGAAGAACTTTTATATTGCCTTATGTTTTGACTCAAATATATATGCAAAGAACTATTTTAATTGGTAATTACTAAGATTTTTTTTTTCTGATCTCAGTAAATGCTGAAGATCCCAAGGACCCCTTGAACAGGGGAGAGACTTGGCTCCAGATATGTAGTGAGTCACACTGCAAATTTCCTAGGAAGAAAAGGTCAGGACCAGAACCTCAATCTCAAGCACATTGATCCCCAAATTTATTGCCTCTGCTTACATAATTTATTTTTATAGATCTGATCTATAGGAATAGCCACAGCATAGCAGCAGCAGGAGCATTGACAGTTAACTGCTCAGGGGGACCTGGCTGACTCACTGCTATGTTTCCACCCTCCTGTGGAGAGAAAATGTGATGTGCCTTTGGATGCCTCTGAGTAATATCCATTTATAAATTTAATTTTAATATATGCAGTAAGATAACAGGAGCAGAGATCAATATCATTTTTGAAAACTATCAATTTTTACATTGAATTTTAAATTACTTGGGTTTATTGAAGCCTAATTACTTCTTTCATCTCTATGGAAACAGAATTAGGATGCCAAATTGTATTCCTGTAAAGATATGACTTTATACGTGAGAAAGCTGTTTCAAGAAATCCTTATATTATGTACAGAGACATGTACATAACGAGGAGACACCTCCCAGGATACTATTTGCCCTCTCACAGTATTATTATTTGGGAGAAAAAAATCTGCCCCAGCCACCTCACCCTAAAAGGTATGGGTGAAGAACAGCCCTGGACAGGGAAGCATGGGCTTTCTGAACCAGGAGATATTACAGGGGTCATCTGTTAAACTCAGAGATTAGAAATGAATGTTTTCATTTTTAAAAAAACTATTCCAAGGCAATTTAACAGCTCTTCCTGTGTTAGCATTTTTTTCCAAATACGGATTCAAATAATACTTGCCTTTCCTTCTTCATGCTAAAAGTTCTTTTCCCACTGCAGTTGGGGCTATTCCCCAATGCAAGGGTAAGTTCATCTTCAAAAGATTCGCCTATAGAAACCATATTTTGAATTTATTTTTGATAGTGCTACATGTCCAATATATTTCTTTCTAATACTATTTGGACCAAAAAGCCAAAGGGTAAATGATTTGTGGTAAACTCTATATGCATTCTTCTTTCATCTTCTAGGAGAAATGAAATTCTTTATGAGAAACAGGCAATAATGTAAACTATACATCTACCTTGATTAATTACTTTAATTTATGAATTTTCCTTATAAGAAACTCAAAATATTACTTTCCTTTTTCTTCATGTGTTTAATGAAAATAATTTCAATATGGCCAATTAAGTGCGGTTGCCTTGTAATGACTAATTGCTTTCCTATTACAACTTTTCAGTGAATATTTTGTGTTTATAATATTGAGAAAAAGATAAAGAATTAGCATTAGACACCTTTCATTAAGTTCCAGAAGATCGTCAGTTCCATAAGGAAGAATTTTGCTTTGCTAACTTTCTATTAAGTGGAACAAGCATAGTTTGAAAATCTGAGTTTCTTTCATGTCTCCAATGTTTCTTTATGACATCTGTTCCCATCTTAAAATTTACAACTCAGAAAAAAAATGGTAGTATACTTGAAGACAAAGAACAAAGAGGGTGATAAACAGCTTCCACATCAAGTTAAAATAGTACAAAACAAATGACTTAGTAGTTACATTTATTTTCCTCTCTGTACCCCCAAAATATCCTGAAGTAGCAGGAATAGTGATTTTCTTTCCAAAAAGATATATGCATTATTTAAAAAATGCATTCATGAAGTAGTCACATAAATTAAAGAGTTATCTCAAGAGACATGAAAACTATTGCTTTGAGTAACCAAGAAAGATTTTCACTTTAAAAGAAAATCAGTTCTACTTTTCAACTGCTGGACTTGCTTGGGAACTGCTGGCAGAAATAGATTGTATACAGTTAGTATTTTCAAAATAGCAGCTATAAAATCATCTTTTCAACAAATGCCTCTTGAACACCTGCTAAGTACCAGGCATTGTGCTTTCTCCCTTAGGTGAGAAGGGCCTCACATTGCTAAATAAGGCGGTCAAGGTTAGCCAAATATTTTACAGTCAACCTCTGACAGAAAAATCCATGGGATTCCCAAAGTGGTTCATGATTCAAAGACAAATTGCTCACAACAGTGTGCTTTTATCTTAGCAAGAGATATTATTTGTCAAAATATGATTTTCTATTCTGCAGGGGGCTGCTTGGTGGTGAGCCAGCCTGATGCTGACAGGTCTTGTAACCCACCGTGTAGTCAACCCCACTCCTTCTGTAGCGAGGTATGTGTCAATGCATCAGGGCAGACCGGCCAGCTTCATCCTTTATCATCCCACTGTCTCTTGTGCAATCCCTCCCCCCCCCCCCCCCAGCAAAAAAGCATGTCTTGAGGCATAAAAATTATATTTTTTAACTCCTTTCCTTTTATCAACATAAACAATTCAGAATACACTTGCTTTTACTTTTAGAATAAATAGAATAAATTATTTAAGACAGAAATTTCGTGTAGTACATTTCAGAAACAATCCTTGTTTAAAGCCTTATGCTTTCAGAGGTTACCTTGCATGCCTGGTATAAATCTCCTTGTTCTTCTTCAGACAAAAACATGCCATTGTGAAGAAGGGTACACCGAAGTCATGTCTTCCAACAGCACACTTGAGCAATGCACACTTATCCCCGTGGTGGTGATACCTACCGTGGAGGACAAAAGAGGAGACGTGAAAACCAGCCGGGCGGTCCATCCAACCCAGCCCTCCAGTAACCCAGCAGGACGGGGAAGGACCTGGTTTCTACAGCCATTTGGGCCAGGTGAAGTGACTGGACAGTGTTCATGTAGAACTCTTCAGTTATACATTAAGCTAATGTCAAATGATTAAAAGAGTGAGCAGTCATTTTCATGTGAGCTATTTATATTTCATCCATATGTATTCATTCTGATATGGCCATCTATTCTTATATTTTTTACTATCATTTTAAAAGCTCTCATGCTCAGAGTTCAGAAAAATGAAATGATTGTCTTCTGAGAAAAGTTTTGGGAATGATATTACTTATCTTTATCCAAGCCCTAAAGTTACAAGTATAATATAATTAATTTTACATTGAACAAAGCAATCTAACAATGGTAATATGAATTAGGAAAACAGGATGTTGCCATTCAGAACTGTGACAAAGGAGAGTATAAAGTCATTCTGTAATTTTTAGTTTGATCATAAGAACAGTAATGGCTTGAACCTTAAATAGGAACATCAGTAATTCAGTCCTTTACAATTTATATCAGCCCTAAGACTCAAATACTCAGAATCTATACTAGCAACAGATACACAGGGGTAGGGATGGAGGCTTCCCTTCCAGATGGGATGATCCCAGCTTGAAGGCTGACCAGACCTTTTTCATAATTAGCAGACCTCTCTTAATGTATCTAGTAAGGGATGTAAAGCCAGTACAGGCGGAAGCTTGAGGGCCTGATGAAATGCTTTTCTCTCCTCTGCGTGCTTTCTCTCCCGGTTGGATTTAATCATACGCTAATTCCTGTACAGCTAACCTGGGGCTTGAAAATGTGCTGTCAGGGCTATACAGCAGCTAAGATTATGCCACTTTTTCTCACATTCTGGAAGAATTATTAGACATGACTAAAGAAAATCTCCAGGTAGAGCCTGATGTTGTCAACTTTACAATTCCATTAGCAACCTGAGAAAAGAAGAAAGGAATTCGCATACCTACCACATCCCTGTTTCAAATCCATTCATTCAAATTACTTTCCCTTATTGGAGAATCAGTTTTGGATTTTTAAGATATTTTGAATATTTGAGTAATTAGCTTTTAACCACATTATCACTACTTTGCTTAGGTTTTTGGCTGAAAATATAATTTATTTTGCAAAGCTGACTTGTCCGTGTATCCAGGGGAAGCTCTTCTCTAGACTATCAAGCCAGTGGATCAGCAATGACCAATAGCAATTTTGACCTTGACCAAGAATTCAAGCAGATCGCCTCACATAAAAACCAGTTTTTTAAATAAAAAAAGAGAATATTATTGACATTATTTTTAATTTAATATATACCTTCCCCGATATATGTTGAAGAACTCTTGGGGCAGAGAAACCAATCGTAGAGCAGCTTTTTGATTCTAAACTCACTTCAAATCAAAAAATATATCTTTTTTAAAAAGGATATTTAGGATGTTAACTAAATTTATTTCCAGCAAATGAACCTCTAACTTCATCTAGCTCTATGCAAAAAAATAAAAAAAATCCACAGTACCAATTTGCTTTTGCTGCCTTTCAAGTATTAAATAAATCAGAGTCTCTGTAAGGTCAATGTGCCTAATCTATAATTTTGACGCTAATATCATGTATTTAATTTTATGTATGCAATAGAAAATGTGGGTTAATGTGAGAATCAAATTGAATTAGGGAGCATCAGTAATAGCATCTTGTGTTTGAAGTTTATTCAGAGCATAAAACTAAGAAGTTCAAAGAAAATGAGGCCTGAAACCCAAATTAGAAAAGGTCCTGTCATATCTAATTCCATATAATGGAAGAGACAGGATCAAAAAAAAAAAAGAAAAGAAAAGACAGGAAAAAAATTTGTAAATCCTTGCACGTGTTAGTCAAAATAGTTACTTTTGCAAGTGATAGTATCAAACCCATTTTAAAACACACTGTAAATATAAACTAGTTAAAAGATTATTAATTCTCAAAAATTTTTTAAATATTCATTTCCTCTGGAACAAAAATGTTCAATTGACAAAACCGTGTTTAAATACCTGTCTATATCAACTCTGCGTTGGAGGACTATCTTAAAATTGCATTATTTTTTATAATTGTCATTCTCAAAATAGATTAAAAACAAGAATGTTTATACAGCATTACACATGTATTGAGTCTGAAGCAAAATTCAGATAAGAAGCAGCAGAAGTTTATATATACAGACTTGAAATCTGAATGCAAACATTATTCCTTTTTAATTCCATTGTCATTGATAATTTATCTTTAATGAAGCCACATCTAACTCACAATAGCAGCTTTGCACTAAATCATTAACCGTGCCAAAGCAATAATCCATTTTGAGCTTTGAAAGACATTGATTATGTTGACTGGTTATTAGTCATAATTAAAGACTGTCTGCTATATACCCAACTAATATAAATTAATAACTAATATTCATTCTTCTTAGATGGGAGACTAAAGACCTGGGTTTATGGTGTAGCAGCTGGGGCATTTGTGTTACTCATCTTTGTCGTCTCCATGATTTATCTAGCGTGGTGAGTGTTTAAATGTTTCAAACTCTAAAAGGATGAATAATGTCTCTAATTCAGACAAAACACTTCCAGTTGACAAAACGCAGAAACAGCAAACTCATGTCTCAAATAAGTATTCTGCATTTATTTAGTGTTCACAAGAGGTTCTAAGTAAATATGGTTTTCGTCTTAAATGGCCTAGAAGCTACCAAATCTGAGCCATTTAGTTTCAGAAGATGAGCCAGAATTGTACTATGTCATCTTCTCAATATGTTCTCCTGAAAGCATGCAAGGGAATGTTGCTTTCTATGGACTAAATGTACTGTAGATTTTCATATTGAATTACTGCTGGAGGACGATTTTATGTTACTATTTAATGGCATTCAACTATCTTTTAAAACATGTGTTATTTATAAATTATGTGTTATTTATAAAGGTTTGTGGCCACATACAAATTATTGTATTATGATATTATTTCCACTGTTAACTACTAGAAGAATTCCACCTGAATGATATATCTTTTATAGGATAGTAAAATACTTAAAGTTTATTTAATGTTTATTCAGAGCATCAAACTGTGTAATCCAAAGAGATCAGAAATCAAATTCTAAGTTTGAATTTAGGTAACATAAGCAATTAGGCAATTTAGGTCTATTAATCTTTTTTTTTTTTATTCCAAGCAGTCAAATTTACATTTAAAAACTGATTCTCTCTCTCTCAATTTTAATGATTGTTTTACAGCAAAAAGCCAAAGAAACCCCAAAGGAGGCAAAACAACAGACTGAAACCTTTAACCTTAGCCTATGATGGAGATGCCGACATGTAACCTAAAACTTTTCCTGCTTTTCCTGAACAACCAGATTTAGCTTTCTGATTTCATAATAAATATCCAGAGACCACAAAAGTATCTCAACTGTGTGGATCGAAATGCATTTTAACTATTTAAAAGAACATCATAAAGAAAAGAGTGAATAGTATTCAGCCCCTGGATATTCAAGACAGTAGTACTTACATATAGACCATCAACCCTGAGAAGTCTGGAGATTTAGTTGAATATATGCTGCGTTCCCAGAGTTTTATATCATCTTTTCTGAAATCACCAACTAAAAAAACACTTTGATCTCTGAAAAAAATAAGGGTGGAATTGGCCAGTTAGGATGCCTGACACAAGACGTCTACAGCGTTAACTTGTAGAACTTTCTAGCATGAAGGGTTTATACAAAGATCTCTACGCCACTATAGTCAAGCATAACAACATGTATACTCAATTGAATGATACACATTATTATGTCAGATTATGTACTCATTTATAAGTAATTATAACAATGAATATGAAATAAGCTCTAAGATAAGCAGAAAACATGTTAAATAAGTTCAGCATCTTGGTGGTTGATGGTAGCTTTTGTCGACCCGCATTTCAGAGACAGAGACTCTTTTATAAGACTTCATTGTTGTCTCTCTCCAAAGTATGAATGCTGGACACGTACTAGTATCTTAGAAGGAAGAGACATCAAGTTCAGTATTTTATAGTTGTTATTGTCTGAAAAACTAATTTACTTGTGTTAATATAATACGTTTCTACTTTCCCTAATTTCAAACTGGTTGCCTGCATCCTTTTTGCTATACAAAAGGCACATTTTTGCACTATATTAGTGCAGCATGATAAGCACTTAACCAGTATTGCCATAGAAACTGCCTCTTTTCATATGGGATGAAGACATCTGTGCTAAGACCGTCAGAGACACATTTGCAAGTTCTTGTATCCTGAAGAGAGTCCAGTTCAGTTTGGATGGCAACAGGATGGAATCAGCCACTACACCTGCTGTGTACCCTCTTCCTCATCACTGCAGCCATTGTGAAATCAACAACATGGCAGTAATTTAAGTGTTAAAGTCCCTAACCCATTACCCTCCAAAAGGTGGATCTCTCTAGTTGGTTTGTAATTGTTCTTCGAAGGCCGTTTATGACTAGATTTTTATATTTGTTATCTTTGTTAAAAAAAGAAAAGAAAAGAAAAAAAGGAACTGGCTGTCTTTTTAATTTCAAGCAGATGGAGAAAATAATGTATGTAATGACTTTTGTAACTAAAAGAAATCAAAATTATGTGTTGATTTTTCTTTCTCCCCGATTTGTTTTCTCAGTTTCAGACTGGATGTCTGTAAAGCAGGCAGTATTTCAAAATCCATAGTCTTTTATCTTTCTTGCTGGTAAAATGTGAAGCAGTCTCGTTAACATATGATTTAGGAAAACTGAAATTTTAAAAAGGGAAGAGTAAATATCACGTCCAGAGTTTCATTAAATATCTAGACCAAGGGTGGCAAACTTTTTCTATAAAGAAACAGATGTTAAGTATTTTCAGCCAGGTCAATGTTGCAATTTCTTAACTTTGTGATTCTGCTGATTCAGCCACAGCTAATACACATTAAGTAAAAGAATGATATAGCTGTTTTCAAATAAAACTTTCTTTATAAAAACGGCTAACCGGCCACTTTTGCAGGTGATCATTTGCTCACCCCTGGTCTAGCTGTTTTTCGATGCTGACTCTCACGGTGTTGTCTGTGGTTTTCATTTACTTTTGACTATGATCAGTGTTTAATTTCAAAGGTGAAAATTTACAGTCATTAAATTTACCATTTTATTGGAAGTAGCTATATTTTTCACAGATGTAGCCCTGGGAATGGCACAGTGGAACAAAATCTAATTCTTTCATATATCTATGAAAAGAAAACCCAGAAAGTACCATAAAAAAAGCAATACTGTTTTTCAGGCAATATTATTGCAACAACCTTTGGAAGAGAAGAGGACATTAGATTTACAAGTTTTAAAAAAGAAAAAGTGTAGCAAGCTATTGCATCCTAAACATAGGTGTGTTGCTATAAAAGTGGTTTGGATTAGATTAGAAGGTATTTTACCTTCATGCTGGAATTGGAACTCCCCCTGCTGTTCGTTACAGTATTTGCAACGCTTACAAAAGACACCAGATTAGAATGTCATTACCCCTAAAAATAAAAGGATTTCTATATATTTTAATAAGAACTAAATACAGTAACCACTAATTCCTTACTGACTATTAACTATATTAGGGAACATGAATCATTTTAAAGAGAAGAGGCACTTAGGAAGATGGGCATTTTACTCTAACCCAAGGATTTAAATCTAGAAAATCATAAAAAAAAAAAAAATTATTTCATCTGTTTTGTTGAAGAGGAAGACAGAAGTAATATTGCTACTCTAAAACTGTGATTGTCAATATATATACTCAGGGGTCTTCCAGGTAATCTTCAAGTTGATCTTTTTGAATAAAATAAAGCCCATTTGTCCAAAATGGTTGAGAAAGAAATGATTACCTGAAAAGTTCAGGCAACAGTGATGAAAAGTATGCAATGCTTAATCATTTTGAAATGTGGCATAGAATAAAAGTTGTTCCTACTTAACTGTTTCCAGCACTTAAAGTATTATAAAATGTCATTAATTCAAAAGACAAGTCAGGATCATCCTACCTACAAGAATTAAATGAATTAAGAAATTAAATATTATAAAATGTTATGAAAACAGAAATTGTTCTCACTCAAAATTGATTATATATACTGACATACATATGTATGAGATTAGGTTCAATGTTACCTTACACTAAGGACCAGGCTGGAAATTCATTGTTAGGGTAAATACCGTATGGTCTCTTGTTAGAAAGGTGAAAAAAAGGAACTGTCGCTATCTGGCCATTTTGGACAAATGGGAGGTTACTATATTCATGTTTATAACATGAACTGGCCTTATTTTTGTTCCTGGCATGAGTCAATAATGAGTTAAATATTTTACTAGAATTTCATCAAAGCCTATTCTTCTTGTTCATTCTAAGAATTCAAGAGGGGAATATAGTAGTAACTTGTCTATTGACACTTTTGCCTTACCAAATGGTCTGTGAGCCCAAAAACTGCTTAGAACTACTGTTCTACAAATATGAAGGTCTGCATTTTGAGAGAATTTTCTACAATTTTGTTGAACTGTTTCAACAGAAACCATATAGAAGTGGCATAATTGATCTTTCTTTAGAGAGGCTGGTTTTCTTATTCATCAATACTTAATTCAATATATCTACCACAGTCTTTATTTGAAAGCCTTTTTGAGGACACTATGGTGTGGCTCAAGCTAATTGAAAAGGAGTGCATAAAAGCTTGTTTTTAATTACATTTAATAAAGCACAAATTGTAACAAGGCAAATATTTATTGACACATGTAAGATACTGTGCTAGGCACTGTAAAAAAATTAGTAACAGCTTTTGTATACATAAGTACCTGGAACATTCAAAAGAAGGAGAAAATGCTTGATGATTGATGATAGCACTGAAACATATTGACCATTTACTCTAGATTTGATTTTAAATGTGGTTGGTGTTTTTCCAAAAGCATCTTAGGCCATGCTATTAGGAGTTTGGTTTTTCTCTGCCTTTAGCAGTCATTTTGGCTTAATTAGAACCTTGTTAAGTTCCTGGACATTTCAAGATAAAGTCACTTCCTCCCACTGGAAGCAAAGAGCACCCTTCACACCTCCTCCAACAACCTGTATTCCTGGTCCTTTCTGATGATTTTCTCTAAGTCTCTCTCTACTCTCTCATCAACAGTCCAAACTGCTATCATCAGAACTACCTGCCAGTAAACACATTCAAACTTTTAATAAGAAAACAATGGAGACTACCTGTATTTCCTTCCTATTCAAATCAAAGTGTCACTGAGAGTGTGAACATCTTGACTTAAACAGATTTGGTCAAAGAAATGAATAATGTAAAAGACATGGAAAAAAATTTTTTTTCTGCAAAACTGTCAATTCCTATGCGTAGCTTTAGAATTGCCCAGCACTGGCGTATTCCCCCTCCCTCTATCTCAAGTCTTTGCTCACTTCCTGTGCTACTAGACAGTGGAGGAGGCCTGTACCTTTTAACACAATACAGAAAACAGAGGCCATTCTCAAGCTAATTTGGGGGTCTGAGTGGATTTGCAAGAATCCTGCTTCCCAAAGGATCTGGTATCTCACTATTTGTAAAAATATAACCAAATTCAAGCGTGTTTCTGATTCTGTTTCTCCTCTAAAATTGAAGGTGTTGAAAGGACAGTAGTCCATGAGCAAATCTGTGAGGAATCTTGGCAGAAGGTGATCATTCCTGGGACTGGTTCTGGAATGTTAGAACTACACCACCCACCTATTCCAGTCTCACCTGGTCTCGCCCGCCGATGGTCCTGGCTGCAGGACGGGATTTCAGGCACCTGAAACTGGAGTGTAGACCAAGGAAGTAGTTTAGTTACTCTTTTATAAAAAAGGATGTTTTGCAATGTGTTATAATAATTCTACATCTACATAGCAGGGACACTGAAAAATGGTTATGTCTGCATTATTAAGTGAATAAAACACATGCTACATGAACAAAGTTAATTTTACAGTTTTATGTTTTGCACTTCTACCAGGTCTTAAAATAGGCAGTGTATGAAGAGTTTTAGTTTGTGGAAGTCATGTTTTCAGTGATCAAAAATCTCTACTTAGAATATAATGGAATGTCAGTTTTATTGTGTTTTGCCAATTTTTTTTGTTTGTTTGTACGTCATTTACTTTTAATCATCAAGGAATAATTCCCAGCTATTTTTCTGGAACCTATTTGTGTTTAATCTGAGACAGTGAACATTGAGATTCCTCTTCTGGTACTTTTTCCTGTTTGTTTCCATCAAGAGATTTGAAAAGACTGATATCTGTCATTATAAAATATAACTGTGTTAAAGTTTCAGTTTATCTTTCTATAAATTATGATGCCCTGAATGTGTATTTTTTGTTAATTTAACTACCTGAATATTTATTTTGTTTAAATAAGGAGGCAGCTGTTTAAGAAGTTTTTGTTAATATTACTTTGTAAATTATGTAATGTAACTTATTTCAAATCATGTACATTTTCTTTTTAATGCACAAAATGTCTATGTACAATTAACTACAGATTTGCAAATAATGTCACTAAGCTTTATTCAGCTAATACAGATGGCATGTGAAGATGTAATATGCTTTTTTACATTTTCATATGGGTTATTTGTAAATAACTCTGTTGCTGACACACATAAACATGGAAATCATTTTCCTTCTAATCATGTGTATCTGTGTTTTCATTTGCATCATTTGCTTCTTATATGGAGTAAAAGAAAAAGTACTGGTGATACCCAAATTCTTCCATTACCATATTTGCTGTTTTCCTGGGTCTTTTTAACAACTCCAATTTAGAAAGCTTGAGAAATGCAAACTTTTACTCTAAAAGTCAACAGAGGCCACCAGATGAAATATCATGAACAAAAGACCTCTTGGTTTCCTGTCATTTTAAAAAGGACAGCAGCAGAAAACGCAGAACACTCTAAAACAGAGTATGGCTCTTCCTGCCCCCTCAGTCATAAGGCAAGTCTCTCCCGGCCTCTTCTCGCTGTGTCTCCCAATAAAATATCAAACCCCCAAATCAAAGCCAAACAATGACAACTACAACCAAAACAATAGCGGGGCATTGCGGCGAGCACCTGTTATTCCAGCTACTCGGGAGGCTAAGGCAAGAAAATTGCTTCAGCCCAGGAGTTGGAAGTTGCTGTGAGCTGTGCCACGACAGCACTCTAACCAAGGCGATAGCTTGAGGCTCTGTCCCAAAAAAAAGAAAAAGAAAGAAAAAAGAAGTTCACCCATTAACAGGAAGCGACGCACAGATCAAACTACTACCAGGGTAGTTTTCAGCTAAAACATTTTCTGAAATAGCTGTTTGTAAAAATATTACTAGGCAGGGAGTCGTTTCAAAATATTCAGCTAGTCTGCAATGCTTAAAGAAAAAATGGAGATTTCTAGTCTTTTTATTTTTTGTGTTGCTCATTACAGCTAAATCTGGATGAAAAAATTTTGAAGTATATCACTCAGATATTTTTCCAATACGTCTGGTGTTCACAGTCACATTGCTAACTTTATTTTTTATTTTGGAACTCCAAGTTGTGTTC